AAAAAAAAAAAGTATTAACTCATTTTCTATTGCATCCTGATAGGGGTTCAAAATGATAAAACAGGTATGTCTGCTATAGAAGTTCATGGTTTCTAAAAGAAGATTTATAAAACAGAAGAAATAAAGTGTGATTTCAAAAGTACTAATAGAATGAGTTTATGTGAGAAAAGTACCTTTGAGAAGCAATTCTGTAAGAGTCAAATAAGTTTCTTATGTTCTAAAAAGATGAACTGTGTCTTTAAAGACTTAAAAGAGGAAAGAAATAAGGGATTACTATCATTGCTCAATTGCATTTTTTCTTTGACTGGCAGTGCCACACCAAAACACAAGAACATAAAGTTTAAATTATATGTCTTTGTATATGTCATTGAATTTAAATGAACTCCAAATCCTCAAAAGTTATTAACAGCTGTTGTAAATGGCTGGAACTTTTTTTCCCCTTTAAACATTCAATTTACTGACAATTCCTATATGCCCTTTAAAAATGATTTCTGTTAAAGGTGACTAAACAAAATGGAAAATGAACAGACCTAAAGTTTTACAATTTGGCAGACCTGGCACAGTACTTGGAATGTGAAAAATCATAGGTTGAAGCGCTGCAATAGGAGACTTGGAAGAAGTATGGCAAACTTTCTAGGAGCCTGATGCATGAGACTGAATTATTGGATGGACTGTAGGAGAGCCACACACACCGTCAAAGCAGTGTGGTTTGTTACCAACTTTCAGAAGGGTGCCACCAGGTTTTTCTCAAAAACTATGGGTAAGAGATTTGGTTGCTAAGCAATGTGTACATTGTTCTTCATCTTTAAGAGAGAAGTTAAGTTCCTACTAAGGCTTCAACTTGTAATTTTTCCTGTTCCAGCTGTCTTTCTGGTTCAGCGTAACTTCAAAATTTCAGGTCTGTTCACATGATGCTTCCTCAGCCATGATTGAACCTGGCAGAACTGAACTGAAACCATAACAAATTCTAAAAACACACAGTTAGAAATGGATCTCATTCATAACCCAAGGATTGCCTTTATAGGATTATTTTGCATCAATTACAATCACTGAGTATGGCAATTTAATTGAAAGAAAAATACTTCACTTGTAGAATATTATTTCACATTAACTTTAATTATCATCAATAATCCTGGATATTGAAAGCTATTACCTTGCATTTTTCTACTTCTTCCTCGATTTTCTCAACAATAGCTGCATCCAGAATTTGTAAATCACAAGATGAACGAGATAAAGTACTGACGGGATGTCCCTTTAGCCAGGTAATAATTTCTTGAACTTTCTCAGCTCTACATTAAAAACAAAGATAACAACTTCTTCACTTGTTTAGGGATTATACAAAAGGGCTGATATAAACTTTCTGAGGGTTGTGAATTATAAAATATTTCATGTAACTAATGGTTAACCACTAATATTGTTACTAACTATAAATCTAAGTACAGACATGACATGTTTCAGTAATAAAAACAAATCACAAAAATTATTTTTTAAAAAGTTACTGATATAAGTAAAATCAGTCTATTAGGATCTTAAGGCAAATACAAAACAAAGAAAAAATAGTAAGATAAGAAAATCTTGGTAAATTAGCTACAACTTTCATTGAATTCACAAACTTGAATCATGAGGCAATAAATACAATAAGTCTTGCTTACCCATTCTCATTTTCTCCTGGCCAAATGTCATCTTCATAGAACACATCTTCTTGGCTATTTTTGGCTATATAACAAAATAGTTCTGGAGCTCTAGACAAACAGTACAAAATAATGCTTTTTAAAAAATATAAGACTAACTACATGAATTTTCTTATAAAA